ACACCAGCTCTCTCCCTGCCCCGCCTCCCCACTCACGGTCCGACCTCGAATCCCAGAACACAGACGCGTGGCTCGCTCAGGGAGCCCTCCGACGCGTCCCGCTCGGCCCGGCCTGGGCACAGCTCCTAGTTGGGGGACCCCGTGGCCTCTGGGCAAACAAGCCTGGACAGGATAGCCGAGTCAGCGACAGTGTAGCCTCTGGATTCTGGCTGTCCTGGGTTCAGATGCGGCCTCCCCGTGCGTGCGTGTGTGTGTGTGTGTGTGTGTCCCCTAGGACATCTCAACTTGTCAGAGCCTCGGTTTCCTCATCAGTGTGTGTGTGTCTGTGTGTGTGTGTGTGTGTGTCCTAGGACATCTCAACATCTCAACTTGTCAGAGCCTCGGTTTCCTCATCGGCTAAGCAGTGATCATGGTGCAGACCTTGTAGAGCTGTGACGAGGACTGCATGTGACAGCGAATGCAGAGCACCAAGCACGGTGCCTAGTGCAAAGTAATTGCTCAGTAAATGCCAGCTGCGCCTCATTAATGATGCCACAGTAAACACATGAAGAGAGCTGGGGAGACAGCAGGAAGTTCTACCTGCAGGAGAGAGTCTTGGAAGGTTTCACGGAGGAGGTGACATATGAGTTGGGCTCTGTGGGATGAGTAGGCGTTTATGGTCAGATGCCTGGGGAATTCAGTTCAGCAAATGTCTATGCGGTGTGTGTGGACGTGCCAAAGCAGGTACCAAAACTTAAGGAAAAGAAAAGTCGGTTCCCCTGCCGGCCAAGGAGGCCTTAGCGAGCTGCCACATCTGCAGGGAGAGAGTCGTAACCTTCCGGTGCGCAGGGCAGAAAAACTGTGGAAAACTGCTCAGGTCACGACACCATATGTCAAGGACCGTGACCAAGAATCGCATGTACTCGGGAGAAAATGCAGACAGGAGGTTCGTTCAGCTTTTTTGGCCACGGGAGTTTTGATAAGTCCTTCGAACCGTTGGTGGTGGCAGGCCAGTCACATGAGTGCATTTGTATGTGTTGCCTGTGAGTTGAGAGGCCAAGTGTCAGAGACAAGATTTGAATTTAAATGCTTCATCTCTACAGTCCACTCTGGTCTTCACGAGCAACCCTCCCTGTCACCTCCCAGACAGACAGCTCTCTTCTCTCCATGATGGAAACAGCCCTAGGAGTGCTCCCTGGGCCAGGCCACCCGTGGCCTCTGGCTTGCTGTGCTCCCACAGCCCTCTGGAGCTCTCGGCTGCCGTGGGCGCCAGCCCCAAGCCCCAGGGTCCCAGCCTCCCTGAGCTGCAGGTCCCTGGCTTCTGCCGCCTGCATCCTTCACAGTAGGTGAGCAGGGACCCTTTGGAGTCAGCCTCCCCAGGCCTGTCGCTTGTGGATAGGGTGTGGCAATGAGTTGAAAATCTGTGGAAGCAGAGGAAGAAAAGAAACTGCCACTGTCTGTTTTCTAGGTCCTCTTCCAGGTCTCAGACTTCTCACTGTGTCCTCACGTGGCGGAAGGGGCGAAGGAGCTCTCTGGGGTCACGTTATAAGGGCACTGATCCCATTCATGAGGGCTCCGCCCTCGCGACCATCACCTCCCAAAGGTCCCGCCCCCTAACAGCATCGCATTGGGTGCTAAGATTCCAGCGTGAATTTTGGCTGGACACAAACATTCAGACTAGAATCATGTGCCACACAAACGTTTCAGTCAACGACAGACTGCCTATATGACAGTGGTCCCATAAGATTATTATAAGCTGAAAAATTCCTATTGCCTGGTGACATCGTAGCCCATGACTTTGGAGGGTTTGCCAAGAATGAAGAGGTTGCAGAAACCACCAGGGCTGTGGCTGAGATGGCAAACAACTTTAACCAGAGCATGGACACGGATGACATTGAGGAGGTTGCAGAAACCACCAGGGCTGTGGCTGAGATGACAAACAACTTTAACCGTGGACACGGATGACATTGAAGAGCTCCTAGATGACATTGAGGTAGCTCCTGAGGAAGTGGCCGATGAGGTGCTGGAGCTGGAATGGGAATAAGTTGCTAAAGAAGAGGCAAGAGAAAAGGAAACCGCAGGAGAAGAAGAAGAAGAAGAATCCCCAAGAAAATTCACCGTGAAAGGTTTAGCAGAAGCTTTTGCTGACCTCAGTAAGCTCCTCAAAAAGTTCGAACGCAGGGACCCCAACACCGAAAGGTTTTCATTAATAGAGAGGGAGGATCTTGGTGTATTATTTGCTTACAAGCAAATATGATGAAAAAAAAAGAAAGAAACCAAGCAAGCAACCATGGAAATATTTCTGAAAAGAGTGACAGACACCTCCTCAAGAAATGCCTCAGGCAGGTCTTTCAGGAGGTGTTCCAGAAGAAGGCATTGTCATAGGCCGTAGGAGGTGGCAGCTCCGTGCGTGTCATTGCCCCTGAAGACCTTCCCGTGGGACAAGATGTGGAGGTGGGAGACAGTGATACTGATGATCTCTGTGTAGGCCTCCGCTAATGTGTGTGTTTGCGTTTTAGTTTTTTTAAAAAAATAAAGGTTAAAAAGTAAAAAACGTTTTAAAATTTTTAAATAGAACAGAGCTTATAGAGCAAAGATATAAAGAAAAAATCTTCGTACAGCTGTACAATGTGTGTTTTAAGCTAGGTGTTATTACAAAAGAGCCACGTTTTGAAAAATTGAAACCTTTCTACAGTACAGCAAAATTATGAGCGAACGTTAGTTTATTAAAGAAGAAAGAAGATATCTTTGTTATAGACTTAGTGTGTCCTAAGTGGATAGCATTTATACGTCTTCAGGGGCGTACGGTGACGTCTCAGGCCTTCACACCCACTCACCCTCACTCACGACTCCCCCAGAGCAACTTCCGGTCCTACCAGCTCCTTTCACGGTGAGTGCCCTGTGCAGGTGTGCCGTTTTTTTTATCTTTCATACCATGTTTTTACCATAGCTTTTCCATGTTTGATGTGTTTAGATACACAAGTACTTACCGTTGTGTGACAGTTGTCTACAGCATTAAGTACAGTGACACGCTGTACGGGCTTGTAGCCAGGAGCAGCAGGCTGGACCATACAGCCTAGGTGTGCAGTAGCCTGTCCCACATGGGTTTGTGTGAGTGCGCTTTGTGGTGTTCGCACAATGTAGTCACCTAATGACACATTTCTCGGAACATACCCCGTCACTAAGCGACACGTGACTGGATGGCACACCTGCCTCTCCCGGTCCACCTCTCTCCTTTCTCCTTCCCCAGCTGGAGCAGCCTGCGAGGCGTGATCGTCCCTGTCATCCCCATGTTACAGAGGCAAAAACAGACCTAATTGAAGTCACCGATGGCACAGGGTCACAGAGTTAGGGAAAAGGGGCAGCAGGACGCAGACCCAGGCGGTCCTGCCCCAGAGCCCACTCACGTCACTGCTGGCCCGGGCTGGGCTGGCCTCCCACGCTTAGTACGTGTTCAGGCCAACAAGTGAGTTACTTCTGCATGGTGCTGTTTAGAGGGCAAACCCAGCAGACCATAGGGAAGAGGCCATGGCGTCCTCGTGGCTCACGGGTGTGGAATGCTGGGCATTTTAGTGGCACTGTGACCCACCTGGGGTTCAATAGCAAACACTTCTGTGTGTCTCTTAATGGGCCGTCAGATTTGCTTTTATAATTGTGCTCCTGCTTGGGAATAAAATTACCTTGGAGAGCCCCCTTCCCCAGCCATTCTTTTTTAAGTCACGGGTAGCTGGGGGCATCCCCTAAGTCCAGGCAGCAGTGCAGGGGAGGGGGGAGGGGTGAAGCTGCTAAATAATCAGAAGCCTCGTGGCTGTGGCAGCCATGGGCAGCCATCCATGGCCACAGCAGAGCAGCATGTGTCACCCTTACAGAATGGCTTCACAAAACCCTTCAGATTCATTCAGAAAAATGGAATTTGGGAAAGACTTATTTTTAGAAAATTACTTACTATCTTAAACTTTGTTGTTATGTGAAGAGAACCACTCCTGTGTAACAGTTTTTCTTTGCCGGGTCCAACCCCATTTGACAGATGCAGGGACCGAGGTTCTGAAGGGTCTAGTGACTGACCCAAGGCCGCATATCGAGAGCTGGTTTGGAGAAGCTAAAACCACAAGGCCTGATTTTATTCCGTCTCCTCTAAGATCTTAGAACTAGTTTTAAAAATCTGACTCGCATTTTTGTGTGTGTGTGTGCAAGATAAACGTCCCATGAACAGGATTCGTGGAACCCTCAGGTGTGGGCCTCACCTGGAGCAGGTAGCGGGATCCCAGTTCTCTGAGCAACAGGGTACTGGGTGGGAAGGGGGTTCAGCACAGGCTGCCAAGAAATGAGGGGTCGAGGCTGCCTGGGAAGCTGTGCCAAATGCGTATTCCCTGTCACACGGGTGCAGATTGGAGGGACATTTGGGGACTTTCCATGAATCCAGCAGAGAGAGTTCTCACAGCAAGCCAGGTGGCCAAGCTGGGCACCGAGGGCTGGACATAAGGCTCTTTTCAGAGGTGAGGCCACCAACAGGCCACCTTCATCCTGCCTGCCCTGTGTCCCCCGGCAGCCCCCCTTCCCTCTTCTGTCCCAATGAGCCCCATGTGCCAGCAGGCGAGAGGGACCTCAGCTCCCAGATTGGTATCCAAGGCCCGCACAGTTGGGCCGGATCTTACCCTCATGATCCCAGCCACCTCTGTCCCCCAGCAGGTTCTAGCCTCCTAGGTGGGTCTCCTTCCGGTTCCTTTCCTGCCTATGTTGCAAGCAAGGACTAAGACCTCCCCTGCACTGTCTATGGGGCCGAGGGACTTATTCCGCCTCATGGGTGGTTATGAGGTTTAAATGTCACGATTCACCTAAAGCCTCAGCACTGAACTTGACCTGTGTACAGAATATTCGTGACAGTTGCTATAGAGCCTGCTCTGCTGCCAGGCCATGTGGTCATGGGAGGGGCCGTCAGAGTCTCCACCAAGGCTGAAAGCTCCTACCGCCCTTCCCCCACAGCCTAGAACCCTCGGTCTGCTCATGACCAGCAGAGCCAGTGACTGCAAAGAGATGTAAAGACAAAAACGATCCTAGGGTCCTAGGGGGCCTTCCCCCTAATTCAGGGATGTTTTGTAAGCAGCCTCTTATACACCAATCGGTTCTAAGGCACGGTCCTTATCCAGTGGTTCAGTTCCACAGATTTCGTTTTCTGGGTCCTTCCTGTCGTTTTCTGAGCTTGCTGCTAGGCGCTGGGGGCAGATGCCCAGCTCATGGCTCAGCCCTGGGGAAGGAGCTCCCCATCCATGTGGGTGCTGGAAAGAGCTGAGTTGTCCGTGGTGTGACCTAGGGGACTGTGCCTGTCACCTGTCGCCCTGACCCCCCTGAACCCAGCTCCAAGGAGAAAGGAACAATAACCGGGGGTGGATGAAGGTGGCCTGTTGGTGGCCTCACCTCCGAAGAGAGCCTTATGTCCAGCCCTTGGTCCCCAGCCCGGCCGCCTGGCTCACCTGAGACTTGGTAATGGCGCCATCTGTCACCTTGCATCTTGCGTTGCCAGTTCCTCCTGACCATCACCCTGAGGTGCGGTATTGTCGCCGTCTCACAAAGGAAGTGGTCGAGGTTGGGGGGAGTTGAGTCACTTGGCCGCTGTCCTGCAGCTTGCGATGGACGGACCTGCATCTCACCCCAAGGCATCCTGACCCGAGCGTGGGTACCAGCGGCATGTCCTCAAAGGAGTCATCCCCCACCCCACCTCCTCTGGACTACACTGAGAAGCCAAAGGCTGGTGACAGAAAGCATGTCCTCCCCCCACCCAAGTTGCCAGAGCTGCCATACGGTGGCCTTCACCGGGCGTCACGGCAGCTGCGATGCACATTTATCCTGCAGCACAGGTCGGCTGCTGCTTGCCAGACTGCTGTCCCGGGGCCCGGGCGTGCGCCGATGGACGAACGTGGCACGTCCCGGCTCTCAGAGCGCGTGGTATGGTGCTCCACTGTAAGCTCCACGGGAGCCGGGGTTTTTGTCTGGTTTGTGCCTGCTGATGGCATCTGTGAATATTGGCTGAGTGATCCATGTCAGAGACCAATGTGAAAATCGGGTTGGAGAGAATCCAGGGCCCGTCTCTGAGATGGGTGACATTTGAGCCGGGACCTGAGTGAAGGGAGTGCCTGCTGTGTGCCCGGCACCATGCTGAGCTCTCGACACGATCGTCTCATTCAGTCCTCACCCTAACATGCGTGTGCTATGATCCCCATGTTACAGATGAGGAAACCGAGGCACGATCGTCATTGCAGCTCATCCTTGCAAAGCCAGGATTCAACCCAGACTCTCTCTCCCTGGAACCTAAGCCATAGCTTCTGTTCTGTGACAGCCACAGAGAGAGGGCCAGGTGTCTCCCTCAACTTCCTAGTCCCTGGCCTTCTGGAAGTCAGGCCTTCGGCGACAGGGTTGTTAATGAGGCAGGTGGCCACCTGTCTCTATGGTCCCAGGCCACACGGAGACCTAGAGTTTGGCTCTGGTGACAGTGGTTGGTTGGGTAACTGGACAGAGCCCCCTGCTGGAACCTTTCTCCTTGGGGAAGGACACCTGCTATTCGGAAACTTGGCTCTTGCCAACAGAGGTCAGGCCCCCTGATTGAGCCATCTGCTCCTTGCCTGCTGGCTTTGCCCCAGAAAGGCACAGCTGGAGCCCTGGGCCCTTCCCTCAGCATCATGCAGAAAACAGCACGTGCAGGACAACCGGCCGGGAGCAGGGACCTGGGTGACTGGCAGGGGATTGTGCTGCATTCAGACAACAGCTGGCTGAGGGGTTCAGCCTGTGTCGTCATCGGCGGTGACCTTGTGGAGTGGGGCAGGAACCATGGCAGCCAAGGCGATTGATTGGGCTACAGCCATCTCCTCTGTCCCTGTTCTCCTGTGACATACATGTTGCCTAAGGACAGAACAGCCCAAACCCACTAGTGACCCTCACATTGGTCAGACCCTTTGAGCATTTTCCTCACATGAAGTCAATCTTTATATTAATTCTTGGAAAAAAATAGTATTGACCCCATCCCCCATTTTAAATACAGAGAAACCCACGACGTGCGTTTAAATGCTCATTCATTCCTTGAAACATGTTTGAAACATGAGCATCTACTAATGTTTTGTCTCTGTTCCAGTCTCCCAGGTAGTTGGTGGCACAGCCAGGATTCAAACCCAGGACTTGACTCACTCCACAGCCTGAGCTCCTAGCCGCGTGCTGTAGGGCCTCCCTTGTCTTCCTGTGTCGGGGGTCAGGGGCTCTCGGGGGTATCTCTGGCCAGGAGGAAGCCCCTGCACCCCTGGTGGTAACACCACCCCCACCCCACCCCCGCATT